GGTACTGGTGGTACCTGCCCCAGGAAGAGCTGAGCCTGCCTGTCCTTCCCTCTAGGATGCAGCGGTGGCCGGTGCTGCTCTTCCTAGCCTGGGTCTGCTTGCTCTTTTTTGCTGGTATCGGGCTCTTCATGAGCGGCTTCCTACTCACCCGCATTGAGCTTGCCAGCAGCAGTTCCTGCTCAGACCCGCTTGTGCCGCCGCCCTGGGAGAAGCAGAGCCTGCGGCTCCTGTTGGTCACCCCAGCGCTTTTCTAAGGCTGTGCTTGTCATCGTCGATGCCCTCCGTTTCGAGTTTGCCCACTTCAACCCAGCCAAAGCCAGCCCACTGCCCTACGAGAACAAGCTGAGTTTCCTGCACCACCTTGCAACCTCCCAGCCTCGCCATGCCCGCCTCTACCGGTTCCGAGCGGATCCACCCACTGCCACCATGCAGCGCATCAAGGGCCTCACCACCGGCTTTCATTGACGTGGGCAGCAACTTTGCTACCTATGCTATCCAGGAGGACAACCTGCTGGCACAACTGGTGCAGAATGGTAGGTGGGATGGGGTGGTGTCCCACTGGGACAGGGCACGTGTGTACCACTGGTCAGCGCTCACACAGGATCTTTATTCCTCTTTCTCTGGGAAGGGAACTGCTTACAACACCTCCACCCTGTCAGCTAATTTCTTTACCCTGCTCAGATGACAGTTGTCTCTAGAGATGTCATGCAGGCACAGTTTCACTGTCTCAGACTGGGAGTGAGAAGTAGCAGGGACTGTGACTTCATCATCTTCAAAGGTGACGAGAAAGCAGGTGGAAGTGGCTGTACTGATGGTGGCTGTCACAAGGTCACCACAAGGAATGGTTTTACAAGTGCCAAGGTCAGTCAGTCGTGGCGTGTTTGCATTCAGGTGAGACGCACGGTGAGGGAGGAGCTGGTGCCAAGTGTGCTGTGGGGGTGGCACTCAGGCGGCAAGCCTGCCTGGCCAGCTGCCTGCTGCTAGGCAGTGACCTCATGGCATTTTCTGTGTAGTTTGGTGCTGCTGGGGTGTGCTTAGTGCGGCTTTAAAGGGCTTGTTAGGGTGGGGTAATGGAGACAAGGGGACAGAACACAGTCTTCTGTTACCCAGAGAGATTTCCCTCCAGAGCTCAAGAGTGGCACAAATACCAGTGCCCAGGAGGAGGCAATGTGTGTGAAGACCCACCACTGTTGTGTTTAAAGCTGGAGTCCAGGACTCAGCAGTTTCTACCTAATCAGCAGCCATCTGCAGTGGACTTTGGGCGAGGGTTTTGTCTGTGGCTTCATGCCACACCTTCCGTAGTGCTGCGGTGACGCGGGTGGGCAGCTGCCTGCTTCCTGGGCTGTTCAGCACACAGGTCTTTCTGCTGGTGATGTGTCAGTGGTCAACGATAAGTCGTGAGGTTACGTAGCTGGATTTGTTGTAGGGGACACTTGTAGGCTTCGAAACAGAGCTGGTCACTACTGGTATTCAAACTCATTTACAGCCAGGTGGTAATTTTAATTTTAGGTTGCTTTTGAGACAGTGCTCCAGACCCTGACTTGGGTCTGCCCAGGCTCTTTGCACTAAGTGGGCTCCCTGCTCTCTTTAATTCCTTTTTTGTTTTCTCAGGAAGGAGAGTGGTCTTTATGGGTGATGATACTTGGGAGGGGCTCTTCCCGAAGAAGTTTTTCCGGTCCTATTTCTTCCCTTCTTTTAACGTGAAGGATCTTCACACTGTGGACGATGGGATCCTGCAACATCTCTATACAACTGGTAAGCAGCTGTTTCCCCAGGGCCTGGACGACACCGAGGTCGCAGGTTCGATTCCCACTCGGTCCCCATGTGTTGCCTGGTCTAGTCGAGAGGTGGCGTCCCTGCCCATGACAGGGGGGTTGGACTAGATGATCTCCAAGGGCCCTTCCAGCCCATCCCATTCTATGATTCTATGATTCTGTGATTCTGTGATAATCCTTTATGTAACGTGGGGGTCCTACTGCAAGTTTGGGGTAGGACTGAGGAGGGTTTTTTCTGTTACAGAGTGGCATTGGGCAGTCATACACTGCTGCTCAGGGATTACAGTGCTTTAGCTGGATTTCCACAGATAAGCTAGCTTTCAGAGCCGTAAATTATTTCTGTAAATACCTTTCCTCCATTTCTGAGAGAGTGCAGCTTGATGGGATGAAGTTAGACGTCTACACCTAGCCCAGAAACACTGCTAGGATGGAGCAGGAGGAGCAATATCATTTTGACATGTGGCTGCTTGGGAAGGCACTCACTGTTCTGGCAAACACACAACAGTGCAGCTGCCCACCGGGACTGGGCCACAGCACTGCTCTCAGCAGAGCATCGGTGTCTCATGGTTGTGGGAAGAAGGCGAAGCGTGAGGTTGGTTTGTGAATTTTAGGTGATTTCAGACTCCTCCCTGAGGTCCTAGGTCCCTTCCAACCCTGACAATTCTATGATTCTGTGAATATAAGTAAATCAAGGGTGCTGTCGCTTTTCACAGGTAAGTCCTTGGCGCCTTGTGGAACAACCTCAGTTCATCGTAAGTCCGGATATGGTGGTTTTCACGTGTTGAGGCCCTGAAGCAGAGCAGAGAGCCTGGAGTAACTTTCTAGCTAGGGACAGCATTGGCCCTCGTTGGTATGCACAGGGGTATAGTGATGAGCCCAACCTGAAATGTCTCCAGTGGAGGACTGGAATTCTGGGTTCTCCTTTTCCTGAGCATCCCCTTAGTTCAGCTCAGTTTGTGGCAGCTTAGCTTAAGGGTGTTTCAAGGTGACATGGGTGACATTGGGCTATTTCCCTTGTGAGCCAGACGCATGAATACTGGGGCCCGTGGCTGGTCACTGAGCTCCCTGTGGCATTGCACACCCAGACCACTGACAGACTCCCACAGCAGCTCCTCTATTAAAACCTGTGTTGACCTACTTGGAAGCTGTGAGTGACAGCGACAGGAAAGGAACAAATGGCAGTTTCCAGAGGCAGCCAGACCCAGAAAGCTCTGACAGGAGGAGAGGCATAGAGCCTGTGCCTGAATCCTGGGATGGTGTGTGATAAGGCTGCTCCTGTTTTGCAGTGGACAGCGGTGAATGGGACATGCTGATTGCTCACTTCCTCGGCGTGGACCACTGTGGGCACAAACATGGACCTGACCATCCCGAAATGGCTAAGAAACTCACCCAGATGAATGATATGCTCAGGTGATCAGTGTGGTGCTGGGGGGGTTGCCAACTGGCCTCTTCCTTCAGCCAGGCTGGTGGGGTCTTCCCAGCATATTTAGAGATGCAGAGGGAAACAGGGGATGCTTACTGTGCCTGTTAACACGCAGAACAGCTTTGGCCAGAAACAGTTGAAACCCCAGATGTGGACCAGACTCAGATACATAGATAACAAGTGCGTGAGAGATTTGGTTTCAGAGGTAAGGCTTTCTTCAGGTCATGTAGCCTTCGTTCTCAATCAAACCATCAGGTGGCAGCACAGCTAGAGTACAGCTGAGCCTCACTCTTTTGTAGAATCATAGAATGGTTTGGGTTGGAAGGACCTTCAAGATCATCTGGTTCCAACCCCCTGCCATGGCCAAGGACACCTCCCACCAGACCAAGTTGCTCAGATCCCCGTCCAGCCTGGACTTGAACACTTCCAGGGAGAGGGCTGCCGCAGCTTCTGTGGGCAACCTGTGTCAGGGTCTCACCACCTCACAGTGAAGAACTTCTTCCTTACATCTGTTCTAAATCAGTTTAGAGGCATTACCCCTCATCCTATCACTACATTCCCTGATAAAAGAGCCCCTCCCCAGCTTTCCTGTAGCCCCTTTAGATACTGGAAGGCCGTTATTAAGTCTCTCTGGAGCCTTCTCTTCTCCAGGCTGAACAACCTGAACTCTCTCAGCCTGTCCTCGAAGGGGAGGTGCTCCAGCCCCCTTGTCATCTTTGTGACCTCTTCTGCTCAAGTAGGTCCTTGTCTTTGTTGTGTTGGGGGCCCCAGAGCTGGACACAGCACTACAGGTGGGGTCTCAGAAGAGCAGAGCAGAGGAGCTAAGTCAGCTCCCTCAGCCTGCTGGCCACATTTCTCTCAGTGCAACCCAGGTTGTGATTGGTTTTCTGGGATGCTGCCTCATGTTCAGTTTTTCATCCACCAACACCCCCAAGTCTTTCTCTGCAGGGCTGCTCTCAATCCACTCATCTCCCAGTCTGTGTTTTTGTTTGGGATTGCCCTGACCCAGGTGCAGCACCTTGCACTTGGCCTTGTTGAACTTCCTGAGGTTGGCACGGGCCTGTGCTGGTTTGAATTAAACAGAACCAATTCTGTTCAGTGATTTTACTTTTCAACTAAGTGCTTGAAGAAGCTGCACTTTATTAAGTTAACAGTGTGTTGTCTCAGACAGCGTCTGCTACTAGAAGTGATAATGCCTGATGTTTATAGTTACTACCAAGGATTGATATGCAGAAGAGCTCGCTCTTTTACTTGCTTTTTCAGAAACCAAGATCACTGCTGAATCTTGTGTAACATTGTGGGTACCAGGAAGTAAAAGGGTCACATGGAAGTAAAATTTTGAAGCACAGACAGGACTGGTGAACCAAACCTGACCAACTGAAGTGTTCCATTCCATATGTCTTATTCAGTATAAATCAGAGGGATTACAGAAATCAAGCTCTCTTCTTCTGTGGCTGTGTCCAAGGAGGACTTGGTCCATTCTTCTGCCTTTGATCCTGATCCATAATTCCCAAATCCAGCTCCTAGGTCAATTCCCTTCTGCTGCCGAGCCTGAGACTTCCCTAATGCTGCCTGCTCTGCAGAGTCAATGGGGATTGCTTTCAGGGGAAGTTGGGTTTGGTACTGGGTTTGTATGTGTTTTGTTACTTTAATTACTTCCTTATTAACACTATTATTATTGTATTAAAGCTGTTTCAGGTGGTTTTTTTTTTCCCCAATCCATAAGTCTCTGCCTTATTCCCCTTTCTTTCCATTTAAGGGAGGGAAGGGACTTAACAGAGAGCAGCTGTCAGTTGTCTAGTGGCTAGTCCAGTCCCAACTCTTGACAGGGCCCACCTCTCAAACCTGTCCATGTCCCTCCGGATGACATCCTGTCCCTCCAGCATATCGATCACCCCACACAGCTTGGTGCCATTGGCAAGCTTGCTTGATCCCACCGTCCGTGCTGCCAACGAAAATATTAACACCACCAGTCCCAGTACCAACCCCTGGGGAACACCACTTGTGTTGTGTCTTCTGGATAATTATAAAATTATGCATCACTGCCCTCAGTATGAAACTCCCATAATCCAACTTACACATCCTTTACCACTGGAGTATTAGAATTAACAGTGTTTGGAAATAATCACATGTAAGACTGCAGAGACCTTAAGTGCTAAACTAGTGGCGTCTGTGACCAGAGAATTGGCAGCAACTCTTTGTGACTGTACAGTCAATTCCTTATCCTCTGGGTGGTCCATCCACCAAATCCATGTCTCCAGTTTAAAGACAAGAATGTCATGTGGGACAGTGTCTCCATCTTTAAAACGGAGCTCTTCGTACTGAGGCTTGGCTCATATTTGAGAAGCACTTGGAGAACCCTGGCTAGGGAGTAATGCGTTTGCCTCACAGGCCTGTTTGTTCCAGAGGGCACAATGGGATCCAGAAGTTCTGATCATGCAGTTGTGCTTCAGCCCAAAGTGAAGTGGCTTTTGACTCTTAGGACTGCTCTAAGTTTTGCTGCTAGAAACATTGGGTCAGTTGCCTTGCTGCATCTGAGAGCACAATATATATTGTGTCATACCTAGTGCATCCTTCAGGGACAAATCCCTTGTTTTCCGTAAAAGTAGGAGAGTGCTAACACAACACGATACAGTAGACAAGTTCCAAATTTCTAGAATTTGTTCCTCTTGGGAATCTTCCTTCTGAACTGTGTTTTGTCAAGATCTCTGAAGGCTTTGAGACACCAGCTACCATTCACAGGGGACCTAGGCAAGATCAGTCCATGTTGTCTCAAGCCTCTGAATTTTTCATTTTGGTTTTAAGGCATCCATTGTCCTGCTGCCAGGCTCAGTTTTTGCAGCTTAGTCAGCTGCAACAGCGTATCAGCGCTTAGTTTTGCTCCTATCCTTTTGCGGGCTTCACCTCTGTGGTGCAGGCAGGCATGGTGGGGACATGTCCTCTCCCACATGGGAACATGCCCAGGTAGGTGTTGACCTTCCTTATCCTGGTGACAGGTCCTTGGTCGATCATCTGGGGAATGATACCCTTCTGCTCGTGGCTGGGGACCACGGCATGACAGAGACAGGAGACCATGGTGGCGACAGTGAGAAGGAAGTGAATGCAGCACTGTTTGTGTACAGCAAAACACCCCTCTTTGGCACTGGTCCTCCAGAGGTGAGAAGAAGATGATGCTTTGCTGTCACTGCCTGAAGTGGCATCCAGGGTGAAAACTGCATCCTCGGGTTACAGAGAGTAACGTGGCGGTTCATGGGGATTGTTTAGATAGAGAGGGTTGGGGAGTCTTGTCACCAGAGTGGAAAGGCTGACACAGGATGTAGGTGATAGAAGTATTTGAGACCCATGTTCAGGCCCCTCCGTCCGTGAGGAATGTTCGAGTGGGGCCAGGTGAGCTGTTAGACAGCCGGGGCCATACCAAGGACCTGCAGCTCACAGCAGGCATCCTGCCCTCTGCAGGCGCTCCGGTGGGGCAGAGCTGTGCCTCTGCCTTCCTCTGTGTCTTCCCACTCCTGGCTTCCCCAGAACAGGATTGTCTTCCCCGTTGTCCTTTAGCCCGACTGAAAAGCTGCATTGCTGTGTTTTTTCCAGATGTCTGATTCCTTCTGTCTCTTTCCAGGAGCCTGAGGCCATTCCCCAGGTGAACCTGGTGCCCACTGTGGCCCTGCTGCTGGGTGTGCCCATCCCCTACAGTAACATTGGGGAGGTGATGGCTGAGCTGTTCTCCGGGGATGGCGATGCCGTGTCTGCAGCCTTACAGCAGCTCTCAGTCTATCACATCAACGCCAAGCAGGTACAGCCTACGGAAGGCCTCTCCGTGGAACTAGAGAGGAGAAGGAATGGCTTTTTAAGCACAAACCTTTTCTGTTGGGCGGAGGTGGAGTGGTGGCATGGTCTTACTTTCATGGGGAACTTATTTTGAGGAGTTACCTCCTTTCAGTGTTTGCTGCAGTGAAAGGCAGCACCATTTCCCCAGAAGAGAAATGAGATATACCTGTTTAGTACTTGGTGGTGAGTGCTCTGGCGTGGAAAATACTGCCCAGGAAGGTGTCATTCACTTCAGGATGAAGGCTGTTCCCACATGGTCAGAGGTGGGTTTGGGGAGGCTGGTGGGGATGCTAATTCCTCAAGGCTGAGGACAACTGAGGGGCGAGTCTTGTTACTGTTGATTCCGGAGTACAAATGGATGTTGTAGTGCTGCTTCAGTTTTGGAGGAGAAACAGTGTTAGCTAACAAGCTATTCCAGATCATTGGCAGAAGGAAAACCATAATTAAGGACCAAATAAAAGAAACACCATCTAGCAGGTGACAGTAAAGTAGGATAGATAACAAACAGTTTACACCGAATGCAACAGAAAAAAAACCCCACAGAACCCCAAGAGCTGAATGATGAAACCTGCATGAGAGTGACTATATTGGGTATAAAAGTAGCCCAGGCAATGGAGCAGGCCACATGCCAGGGCCGGCCAGAGCCTCTCTGGAGGACATGAGGGCAGTCTGCGGTGGCTCCCGGCATGCTGCAGAACCAGATTTGCCACACACGTTGCAAGTCATGTGTCTCAGCTAAATGCTGGTCTGCCTTTGAGCAATACCTGGATTGCAAGGAGCACAAGAGTTAACTCCTCCAGCCTCCCACCCCAGCTCCTCAGTGTACCAGTTAGACACTGGTACAAGCCAGTGAGGAGCTCAAGACGATGTGATTGCTGTTGGGAAGTTAAAAAGGTTCAACCTGTCTGCTGTGTTATTTATAGAGCAGTGCTTTGTCATTTAAAGATGATAGGGTAAGTTACTGCCCATTAGTCACTGAGAATATTGATCATTGTCTGTTAGGAATTAGCGTTACCCAGTCCTGCCTGTTTAAATATTTGCACTCATTTGTCTGAGGAGGTTTCTGGCTCATCGCTTTGGTGTTGAAGAAGCTTTTGCATACCAGGGAGGTCAAGCAGGCCTGCAAGAGAGCTGGTGTGTACGTTTGCCATTCATGGGCAGGGGCAGACTGATTCTGCTTATACTCTGAGGCGACTGGAAGGCACGTGAAGATACTTCAGTGCTTGAGCAGATCTGTGCTGCTGAGCAGCTGGATGTTTGTACCGGTGCCCTGCCCTGGTTAATGCCCTTGTAAGATTTTTTTTGCTTTGGGATCACAACTGCCTCTGTTCCTGTCCTAATGAAGTAGGAAGCACTGTGGTACAGTGCATTAATGTCACTGTATTGAAGAAGAGGGAACAGTTTGATCTGATCCACTATAAGCTCTTTAACTTGATGTTTATCCTCACACAATGTGAAAGTCTGCATTGAGTGCAGATTAATAAATGACTCAAACTCTTGGGCAATGTAGGCCGTATTACCAAAGACTATATAAAAGCTCTTAGTGATGCACAGTGTAACCAGAGGTGCACTGGCAGGTGGAGAACCGAAAGAAGTCACTGTGGTCATTGGGATGGGTACGTCACTTGAGAGGGATGTCACTTTGGCAGAGGGATTGTTTCCTTCTCATCACATCCTAGATTTGGGTGTCCAGCAGATCTGTTCTGGCAGAAGTTGGCAGGTTGGGGCTGATTCCCTTCTGAAGGAGCTGTATGAGGCTGTGGTTCTCATTCTTGGTGGTCCCAGTGCTGCTGTCTGACCTTGTGTCCCCTCTCCTGCAGGTGGACCGCTTCCTGCACTCCTACTCGCTGGTGGCTCAGGACCTACCGGCAGAGCAGCTCCAGCGCCTTCAGGAGCTCTTCTCCGGCGCCGTGGAGGAGCACACTCAACTCTTGGCCCAGGTGCAGGGGACAGCGCTGGTGCCTCCGGAGCTGGAGTCCAGGCTGGGAAGCCTCATCAGTCGCTTCCAGCTCTACCTGCGGGAAGCACGGGCTGTGTGCACCCAGTCCTGGGCCCGCTTCCATCCCCTGCGTATGGTGGGGGGCTGCACCCTTATTGCCGCTTCCTGCTTGCTCTGCTACATGGCCTCGGAGCTGGCCGCGGCACTGGACTCCTTCTATCACAGCTGCCTCCTGTACCCACTTCTCTGGGGCCTCGTGGTGGCTGTTCTGCTGGGGCTGGCCTGTGTGTTCACCCAGGAGGGTCTCGACCTCCTCCTAGTGTTGTCCTGGGCAGCTGCTGCTTCTCAGCTGGGTTTTTTCTGGCACTGGAGGGGCCAGCATCCCAAGCGAGTCCGTTTGGTGGGCAGTCAGCTACCCTTGGCCAGCGTTGGCCTGAGGCAGAGGCTGCAAGCGTGGCTGGGGCTGGCCTTCCCCATGGGCATTCTGCTGTTCCGCTGTGGAGCTATGTTCTCCGATAGCTTTGTGGTGGCTGAGGCC